ACCCGCCCATTCACCCATCCATGCATCTACCCAGCCAGCCACCCAGCCATTCATGTGTCCAAACACCCATTCATCTCTCCAGGATTTACTCAGTGCCATATGGTCGACACAGAAGTGAAGCAGTGTGGACAGAGGACGTTCTTTAAAGCAAGGGGCAGAGTGTGCTTTCACTGTTTGCTAGTTGACACGCACACTGCAGACAGGGAGCCTTGGCTGGCTCGCTGGCTGGGTTTCTAGGCCACCTTAGCTCCGTCCCTGATTTCCTTTGGGCCCTGAGCTTAGCGTGTTGCCATGGCAGCTGGGGATGAGTGACCTTCAGTGACAGCAAGGCATGTGAGCAACAGCCCGGTGGAAGGCGAGGTCGGGCGAGGTCACCGGGGGGCAGCGGCTGAGCCCCACTCTGCTCTTGTGGTTCTGCCTAACAGCTGCTCTGGGTTTCTGCCCCAGGTCGGGGGCGGCCAGGAGGGCGCAGGGGGCCAGGTGGAGATCTTCTCCCTGAACCGGCCGTCGCCCCGCACGGTCAAGTCCTTCCCACTGGCGGCCGCTGTGCTGTGCATGGAGTACATTCCAGAGCCAGAGGAGGGGGAGAGTGGAGACGGAGCCAGAGAGGACAGCGGCCCTACTGCCGACCCCTCGGCTGCAGTGCACCCCACCATCTGCCTGGGGCTCCAGGACGGCAGGTGAGGACCCGGGGAGGGGCAGAGAACAGCCTGGGCGGTGGGGCGGGCAGGCAGGTGGGTGGCGGAAGGTGGGGTCCCGGGCGCCTGGCGTGGAGCTTCCCGGGCAGCTCCCTCTGGGCAGTGAGCGGCCAGCGCGGCTGGTGCTGAGGGGACCCGGCAGTTCTTCTCTTGGGTCCTCAGTCTACCATGTAACCCTGAGCCTCAGTTTCTCATCTGCACAGTGGGGATTCAAGCTGCCCCCCCCCTCCTCCCGCCGCCTGTGCTCCCGTCAGGTCACTTAGTGGTCACTGACGGCGCCCACCACTGTGGCCTCGACCCTTGGCAGGGTGGGTGGGGTCCGGCACGCCCGTTCCACGTGTGGGTCTGCCTGCGGAGAGGGGCGCCCCCTGCAGGCTGTGCCTGGGGCAGGCGAGTCAGCCCCAGGGAAGCCGGTGGGGCCCGCGGGCACTGAGGTCCGCAGCGTCCTCCCTGTCTGTCTCCCATGCCTGGCGAGGGGAAGGGGGGACCGGGCACTTCCTGGACACCTACTGCGCGCTGCTGCGAGCCCACAGCCGCTCCTGTGCCCCCCTGATTCCCGCGGGAGACCCTGAGGGAGGAGCAAACAGCCGGCACACGCAGAGCAAGCGTGGAGCCCAGGAGGGGCCCCGTCAATACCTGTTCTGGTTTTAATGAGATGAAACAGATATTCAGTGACATTCACCATTTTGCCCTTTTCCACTCTCTTTCAAAAATCGAGACACCATTGACACATAGCTTATATTAGTCTCAGGCGCACGACATAATCACTCAATATGCTGTGAACTGGCCAACACAGTAGGTCACTTTTTAAAAATCATTTGTCCACTTCCAAGTGCGTAATTCAGGGACGCTCCCGTCACCGTGTGCAGGTGTCACCGCTATCTTGTTCTAGAACATTCTCATGTCCCTAAAAGGAGCCCCATGCCCCCTGCGCGCCCCGGTCCACCCCTGGGCCCCCAGACGCTCTCTGCCTCTGGATCTGTCTCCTCCAGACGTTTGACAGAAGTGGGGTGCACGGTGAGCGGCCTCGCTCCTTCTCACTGGCTGTCGTGTTTTCAGGGCTCACCCTCCAGTTTTTAGGGGCTGGGGTTGTGAGGGAGGCGTTTTTGCCCCATTTTGGGGGAGCAGACTCAGGCTGCGCAGCCTGGGGTTATCAGCACCCCCACTGTGGCGCCACGAGCCCCCCTCCGGCCTGACCCCGGCAGCGCTGGGCCCCTCCCTGGGGGTGTGGCGGGCGGGGCCCAGGGGGGCTGCGTGAGTCACGCCGGCCTCTCCCCGCAGCATCCTGGTATACAGCAGCGTGGACACGGGCACCCAGTGCCTGGCGGCCTGCCGGAGCCCCGGCCTGCAGCCGGTGCTCGCGCTGCGGCACGGCCCCCTCCACCTGTTTGCCGGCCTGCAGGACGGGACCCTCGCCGCCTACCCCCGGAGCAGCGGTGAGCAGCGGGCGGGGCGGCAGGCAGCCCTGGGCGCCGGGGGGCTGGACCCTGGGCCAGGGTGGCCGCGGGACACCGGGCGAGAGCCAGCTCAGACTCCACTTGGAGGAGCTCGGTGCCAGGCCACCCCAAGACCCTGATCCCCGGGGGGCCGTGCAGCAGTGGGAGCTGGGGGGACCCACCGTGCAGTCAGCTCCGGGCCCGCCACGGGCTCCCCGGCGAAGGCACAGCCGAGGGTCGTGTACAGCCAGTGCCTGGTGGAGGGGGACTCGGGGTCTCGGTTCTGTCCCGAGCCCCCTGCGCTCCAGGGGGGGGGTCGGGCCCGTACCCCCCGCGGTGTCCTCTCACGCAGCCCTGACGGTCGCCTTCTCTTCAGGGGCCTGAGGCTCAGCCTCAGGGAGGCGCCGGGGAGCCGTCCGTCCCCCCGGGGCCTGTCGGTGTGGTGACCCGGGCCGGGCGCCTCCCCAGCTCCCCCGGAGCGCGGCGGGGGCCCCCTGCTCCGCCCTCCCAAGTGCTGTGTCATCACAGCCTGTTGCGGGGTTATAAACGGATATTTGTACTGAGCTATCTTTTTTTTTTTTTTTTTTGCCACTTGGCACTGTGTTGGTATTTTTAATTAGCTTTTGATAAGGCATTTATAGTTTTTAATTAAAGGGGGAAGAGGGAGGGAAAAAAAATCCCTCGCACCGTCAGGCGGAGTGTGCGTGTGAATGTGAATCTGGGATCAACTGCGTGCGTGTTGGACGAGGGGCTCCAAGGCGCCCCTCTCCCGCCCCCACCCGGGCCCTGCCCCCACCCCGGTGGCCGCCCTGGGCCCCTTCCCTGGTCCCTCGCCGCTCTGGCCGCGGGCTGGGAGGGGTGAGGGCTGTCGTGTCCCTTTGCCGCAGCTGCCGTCACAAAGTCCCCACACAGGGGCTTAAGGGCAGAGACGGACTGTGGGAGCCTGGTGCGGGTCGTGCCCGTGGGGGGGCGCTGGGCGGGCGGCGCCGGCCACCCTGGTCTGCAGGCTGCCGGGCCTGAGTGCGCCGCCGTGGCCCTGACTGACGTGGTGGCTGTGTGCCAAGCCCCCTGCCCCCCAGGACACCGTCGCGCTGGTGCAGGGCCCGCCTGCCACCACCTACCTCCGCTGGGACCCTCCCTGCACGCAGCCATTCCGGGGTCTCAGGGCTTCAACATGTGGATTTTGGGGGGACACAGTTCAACCCATAATGGGGGCTTGGGGTGTAAATGCTAGCCTCAGCCTGCGGCGGATCCCGGAGTTTGTCAGGATTACTGCGCCCCAGTCCCCCATCTTGTGGATGGTAGGGGTCTCCCCAGGCCCCCCGGGTGAGCAGGCCGGAGCCCGGCGTCTCTTCTCCCGTGGGAGAGAGGACGGGGTCGGGCAGCTTACCAGCCTGCCTGGCAAACCTCTGCCCAGCGAGTATTTATGAGACACCTGCTGTGTGCCACAGGTAAGGTGGCCAGTGCATGCGTCGCCCCTGCCCTTGCGACATTGTGGTCACAGAGGTCACGGTCAGTCCCCGACCCAGCAGGAGGCCCGCCCATGCTTTGTCTCAACGCAGAAGGGCAGGGCCAGAAACATTAAAAGGGGCCGAGGCCAGGGTGGCGACTTGCCCGAGGCCTCGAGGACCCGGGGCCTGGAGCCGCCTGTCCGCGACGAGGAGTCCAAGGCCATCAGGCCATACTGCGCTGGGGAGCCCGGGACCAATGCGCGGCAGACAGGGAAACTGAGGCCAAGTGCGGTGTGGCCACACGGTCACTGCTCCCAGGGGCCTCTGCCTCTGCGCTCGTTGGCCCCCTCCCGTTCATTCACCGACTCCCTGACTCACTCACACTCACTTTGCATTCTCCATTCACTCACTCGTTCATTAATGAGAAGCCCACAGAGTACAAGGCACTGAGCGGGGGGTCTTGGGACCCGGAGCTGAGCCAGGAGGCCACCGCCCGGCCCCACAGCCACCCGGCCGCCCAGCCGCCCGGCCCTGAGTGTGGGCAGGCGCTTCCCGGGGCCACACAGGCACGGGACTGAGCATCCTGGCTGGGGAGTGGGGTGGCCCCTGGTTAGACGCTGGGATGCTGGGACGAGGGCCAGGTCATCCCAGGAGGCGGGTGACGAATGGGTGAGGCTTGGGTGGGGGCTCAAGCTGTCTGGGGTTGAGGCTCAGCTGCAGGGGGGCAGCTGTTGCTTCTCTCTGAGCCTCAGTTTTCTCGCTGGTAAAATGGGAGAGAAGGCAGCCCCCTTGGAATGGGTGTGCGGCCCGGGGCACCTGCCACACCAGTACCCGGGGAGCCTGGAGATGTGCCCGCGACCTCTGGCCACATTGCAGTCAGAGAGCTTGGCCTGGCGGTTCAGGCCCCTGCTCTAGCCGGACCCTGGGGGGCCCATTTGGGTCTTCTGCCCTCAGGCTGGGCCCTGCTTCTGGTCCTGCCAGCAACTCACTGCGGGCGTTGAGCACATTGCTCCTCTTTTCAAGTCCTCAGTTTCCCCATCTGTAAAGTGGGGAGTCGCAGTGCAAACCACAGTGCCTTAGAGCTTCTTGACGCTGGCTTTCCAGGGCTGACCGCTGCCTCCTCTCGGAACTTCCTGCCTTCTCCTCGGCGCTCCCACCTCCCCCAGCTCCAGCCTCTGGAAGGCGCCTTTGCTGAGGCAGAGCTTCCTCTCCCGTCACCTGGCTGAGAGCTGGTGCTGGACTCGGACTCGTGTGCCGGGGCTGTATGAGAGCGCCAGTGTGCGTACCCAGGACCCTTGGGGGGCAGGGGGGCTGGAGGGATGGGTCCCCAAGTAGGGTGTGTGTGAGGGCTGCCCTTGCTCACTTAAAACCTTACAATTGTGGCTCGTGAAGGCTGGGAAGACCCCGAGAGGTCAGTTATGTCCCTCATGGTGCCTTTGGACAACTGAGTCCCAGCACAAGGAAGCCTCTTGTACAGAGCCCCCCGCCCCCCCCGCCATGGACTCTAGAATGGGGATGCCTGTCCAGTGTCCTTTTTTTTTTAATAAAGATTTATTTATTTGTGCATACAGACTCGGGTACAGGCCAGAGGCTCAGGGGTGGCGAGAGGCCTCACCAGAGACAGAGTGGGGAGCAGAACAGGCCAGCTGACAAAGTACACTGCTGAGGGGAGCAGCGGGCGGGCCAGGAGAGGTCTGCTGCGCCATGTGGATCTCCTCTGGGGCAGGCGGGGATCGAACTCGTGCGGAAGCGGCTTAAGCTTCTTTTACAGCGCATCAACCCGCTGCGCCACCAGGGAGGGCCCCAGTGTCCTTTTTGGCACAATATTTATCTGTGTCATTCAGTCCTGGAGCCAGGACTTAGAGGGTTTCTGGAGATGCCCAACGAGCAGAGGAGGGGTCAGTCCCCACATGCTGCCTGGGGGTGTCAGACCCCAGACCCAGGGCTGGCTGGGTCTGGAAAGTGCAGGACAGCGGGTGCAGGTCTCCAGTGGCCATCACTGCCACGGGTCACTTTACTGCTTCCAGGGTGTGGTCACAGCATTTCTAGTGGCCTCTCTGGGGTCACAGACCCCTTATCCACAGTGGCAGGATCCCCAGCTTCTGGCTTCTAGCACATATATCTCTGGCCACTGGGGGGCGCGCAAAGCCTTGCATTTTCGCGTTCTGGCGTTCTGGCGGAGTCAGCGTCCCTGCAGAGGCCTGGCCCCGTCTTGGTCACTCACCCCGCGTGGCCTCAGAGCCCTTGTGAAACTTGGAAGCAGAGAGAGTGGCCGGGGTTGGGGAAGGGGCACGGCCTGTCACCCCGCAGTTGCCAGCTCTGTGGTCCCCGGTGTTGCGTTGGCCGGGCAGAGTCCACGCGGGCCGCGGTGTGGGCTGGTCACACCAGGCAGCGCTGGCTAGCAAGCAGGAGTCCTTTCCCGCTGTGCGAGTCTCCGTCTCAGTTTTCTCAGGTGTAGGACAGAATCTTCCAGGTGGGCCTGCCAGGGTCCGGGGAAGAACTCGTGTATGGAGTGCTTGGCATGCCCATTCGGGGGGCAGGAGCACCCCTCCCGGGCAGGCGCTGCGTGAGTGAGCCAGCGGCTCATCCGTGCCTGCCACTCCGGGCTCGCTTTACAGACCGGGACAGGCCGGGAGCGGGAGGCCCAGAGCCGAGGTGCCTGCCCACACGCCTGCCTGGGGCCTGGGGCCGAGCTGGGGTGAGCCGTCTGCCCCTCCCCTCTCGCTCACGGTCGGGAAGAGCTGGCTCCCAGCGGGCTGGGGTGTCCTCCTGCTTCCTCAGCGCTCGGCTGAGCTGGGAGCCTGCCAGCTGTAAGTAGGACAGGGTGGAGAGGAGAGCCTGCCTCACGGGCGGGCAGAGGGGCAGCCTGGAGGAGGGCTGGGGGGCGGGGAGCGCGGCCCTTCGCAAGGACCCCTCCGAGGACTCGCCCCACCCCTGCGGCCGCTTCCGCAGTGGACGCTGGGGGCCCCCTGCTCCGCAGCGGGCTCCCAGGGGGTCTGTGGTGGGCTTCTGGGGACTCATCCAGGGCCCGGTGGAGGGGCGGGCTCCTCCTGCTCCCGGACCCTGGCTGCTGCCTGGTCCCCCGGTGGCCGTGGGCAGCTTCCTGCTGGAGCTCCCTTCTCAGCCACCCTGGCACAGCCACGGGGCGCTGTGTGGCCTCGGGCGTGATTTCAGAGACTAAGCGATGTCCGAAGCACCTCGGGGTGGCAGGTGGGCCTCTTCAGTGCCAGGCCGGGTCCTTCGTCCTGCTCCGCCCTCAGAGGTGCTGGCTAGGGGCTGCTGGCCCCTCGGGACCTCCTCCTTCCACACCTGGGAGCAGTCGCCTCTCTGGAGGAGGAAGGTCTTCAGAGAGCTTGGGGAGGTGGGAGCACCTGGAAGAGGCAGGAAGTTCCGAGAGGAGGCAGCGGTCAGCCCTGGAAAGCCAGCGTCAAGAAGCTCTAAGGCACTGTGGTTTGCACTGCGACTCCCCACTTTACAGATGGGGAAACTGAGGCCTTGAAAAGAGGGCGATGTCCGCTCAACATCCGCAGTGAGTTGCTGGCAGGACCAGGAGCAGAGCCAAGTCACTTGACGTGGTCCAGGAAATGTCCCACCAGGCAGGGTTGAGTGAGGATGCCGCCTCCTCTGGGAAGCCTCCCTGGATTTCCCCTGTTCCGAGTTGATTTGTTTTCATCTCAGCAGTTCTCGTGGCCCCCTGTACAATCTGGTCATCTGTGCTTGGCACCTTGTATGGTGCCTGCTGATTCTCCCCTTGGCCTCTCGGGCCAGCAGGGTTCCCTGAACAGGCTGTATTTGGTTCGTTTCTGTCCTTCCAGCACATAGCACTCAGCCTGGCATGCAGAAGGTGCTTACTAAATGTGCGTGGGATGGAGGAACAGAGAGAAGGGGAAGGGCATGGAGGCAGATGGGGACAGCCATCATCCTGCAGCTGGAGGGGCAGCGATGGGCTGGGAGCCTGGGGTGCTGGGCCAGGACTGCACTGAGGGTGTGGTTCAGGGGTTAGGGAGCCCTGGGCCCCGACCCATTTGCCCCCTCCCCTCTGAGCGCTCCCTTCCTCTCCCTCCAGGAGGCGTCCCCTGGGACCTGGAGAGCGCCCCAATGTGCCTGACGGTGGGGCCTGGGCCCATTCGCACCCTGCTGAGCCTGGAGGATGCTGTATGGGCCAGCTGTGGGGCCCGGGTCACCGTCCTGGATGCCACCAGCCTGCAGACTCAGGTACTGCCCTGTCCCGGGCATCTCGTGGGCCCTGTGACACGCTCGAGTTCCACTAGACAGTGCTTAGCTCCTGGCTGTGTCTTGGGACCCATCAGAGTTTGTGGGGATACGGAGGGGGCCCAAGTTCCGTGCCGGGCCTGGCCTCTACCTGGCCTGCCCCCCGCTGCCCTGAGGCTGAGGCTCCCAGCACGCGGGGACCCCAGGTGTGTGTGTGCCTTGGAGGTGAGGCCGGGTCTTGTCCTCGTTCTGGTCCCCGGGGTGCTGGCTTCTGGGGCAGCCAGTGAGGCGGAGCAAGGGGGTTGGGGTGGGGCTGCTGGTACTGCCTCTGGCCGGGTGAGCCCTGGGGGCCCACGTCTGACACCGACCCTCACTTCCCAGCCTGGGCGTGCCCCAGGGGCCAGCGTGTGCTGCCCCGTGGCTGCCCGAGGGCATTTTGGCTGGCTGGAGGCCAGCGGGGTGAGCTGTCCCAGGCCAGAGCCCGGCGAGCCCGCAGCCAGAGCAGGCCTGGGCAGCCTCCGCTCACCGCCAGTTGCCCGCTGTCAGTGGCCTGCTCTCCCAGCGCCGGAGGGTGGAGGTGCTCGAGCTGGCTCTTAGGTGGCAGGGGGAGCCCCTCCTTGTGTGTGGTCCCTATCCATGTCCCCCAACACCATGCTGTTGAGCTGGGCAGGTGAGTGGGAGGGAGGAGGAAGGCGGGTCCTAAATTCTTGGTTCTTTCTCCTGAGCAGGAGGGGGACCCCTGAGCCGCTCTCTTTACTGCCCCCGTTTCTCTCGTGGGGCTTCCTTGGGTCTTTCTTCCAAGGGTCCCTCCCCTCAGCCTCTGGCAGGGCAGTTCGCCCTGGCCCTTTGGAGTCCAGGCCCACCTGGGTTCCACAGTGTGGCAGGCAGTGCCTGTCTGGCTAGCCCCTCCCCCCACCTCTTTATCCTGGCCCCAGGTCCAGAGGTCCCCCACTTTCGGATGACCCCCCTCACCGGCTGTCTGCACCCAGGAGGGGGGCCTGGTGAAGAGGTGCTCACAGCGGCTGGATAGGGGCCCCAGTGAGGGTGGTGGTGGGAAGGGGCAGGTCCCCGCCCTGCCCTTGAGAGGACCTCCAGACCCGGGGGGGGGGGCCCACCCTGTCACTGGGGGCCTCCTGGTCTGCTCCCGGAGGTCACCCTGTTTGTGCAGGAGAGACAGTCTCTGTTCTCCATATGGGAGTCATGAAGGAGCCTGGAGAGGACGGGACGGGGGGACGGGGGTCCCCGGCCCTCCGTGGGAGCTGTTGGCCAGAGGAGGAGGCAGCAGGGGGCTGTGAGGCAGGTGGGCACTGCGAGGCTCAGCGGGGAGAATCTGCCAAGGAGCTGCAGGACCCGGAGGCCGCAGGCCTGTGGGGAGTGTGGGCGCAGGGCCTGGGAGCAGAGGTGGTGACGGCCGCCCGTGTGGCGCCTCCCTGCAGCCTGGACACTTTCTGGAGGAGGGCAGTTGCGAGGGGTCATCAGCAGCAGCTGCCCTACCCCTGACCTGGACATCCCCCGGGGGTCCTCTGGGCACCCCACTCACTCGGAGGTGGGGCTTGCTGCTTGCTGCACCCCTGCTGAGCTGTGCGCTGAGGACGAGCTTCTGAACCTCCTGGGCCTCAGTTGCTTTACCTGTAAAGTGGGGTGATCATGGAGCTGTTGGGGTTCTTGCGAGGGCCCAAGGACTTATGGAGAAGGGCAGTTCCGTGGTACCTGGCACACAGTGGGCGTCGCCACGTCCCCGTCTGCCCGGTGAGGCCCTTGCACAGCAGCCGTGGTGTGGACGTGCGACCACGGAGCGGGTCTGACCCTCTGGCCCGCTAGCGGGGGGCTCCCTCCCGCTGACAGCCGCCCCGGGTGCGTGAAACAGATGGACGAAGGGGTGTAGGGCCCAGCGCTCCCCGATTTCCCCCCTCACTGCCGGCAGCGCAGCCAGCTCAGGCCTCGCAGCTCGGCTGGGCCCGTGGTCCCTGGGGCCACGCAGCCCCAGGCGCCAGCGCCAGGCCACGATGATTTAAGATTCGCTCTGGCCCAGCTGCTCTTTAGAAGCGTATCGCCTGCTCTGCACACCGCGGAGGGCGGCCGGAGATGTGGGTGGGGGGAGCGTCGAGGCCGTGGGGGCCCCGAGGGGCTCCGAGGCAGGCCCGGGGATCACGCGCCCGTGCAGGCGGGGAGGTTGCAAAGTTTGTGGGGTGCGGGCAGCTGGCCTTCAGCACACACAGCCCTTCGGCGCGGTAACGAGGTGATCGTCATGCATATTTAATAAGGCTGAGCTCGGGCGCTGCTGGGAACGGCGGAGACCGGCACGCCTTCGTGCTGGGGTCTGACGCGCCTCCGTCTGGCTGCTGCTAATGACCACCCTGGCCGGCTCGCGCACCCCCGCCACCACCCCTAGCCGGGCCTGGAGGCTGGGCCCCTACGTCCCCTCGAGCGTGAAGCTGCTCGCCTGCTGTCTCCACAGGTGAGGCTAGTGGGCACCGCCTATGAACAGCCACGTGGCCAGTCCTCTCCCAGCCTTGGGGGCCCCCTTGGGGGTCTGAGCCGTGGGGAGCCCTCTGCTCCCAGCCAGCAGCCGGGCCTTCTGCAGTGTGCAACC